CGTTGTTGATGATGATGAGCGAGTGGATGAGGATGACCAAACGAGGAAGCAGCAGGGGTTGAAGAAGTGATGTTCATGGCTAGGTATTCGGTTCGAAGAAGAGGGTATCCGGTTCGAGTTTTTGGAAGGAGTTTGACGAATTCGGTTACATGATTGGCGTATCCGGTTACACGTTCTCAAACAACTTCCATGGGAGGCGTATTCGGTTACACATTCCGTATTCGTTCTCAAACGACGCTAGTATTAACTTTTGGTTGTTAACACCAACTTTTGGTTGACTATAAATTTATACTCTCTTAATATTGTGTTAGGATCCTCATGTCAATGCTAATGACTAATACCTTAATCACAAATAGTTTAAAGAATATTTTTTAAACGTTATATATGATTTTGTACAACTACATTAGTAAAACGAGGTTTTGAATTTTATGTCAAAGTTAATTTAAAGCCTATAAAAATATTGGAAAATGTTCTTTTAACAACTTTTTTTTATAACAGTTTATGTGATAGCTTGTGATTGGTTCGTTTCAAATATATAAACCAATAAAATAGTGACACATTGTCTATTGTCAAAAAGTTATTAAAAAAAGTTGTTAATATATCATGGTACAAAAATATTTCACAAAACATAAACATGTTTTGATAGATGACCAAATGTAAATATCAATAACCAGCATCTAAGGTTTCTCATCAACACTACTATTTGAGTGCACATAACAAACAAGTAAAAGAAAAAAATAGTTTTCCTTAATGTGTGGTATCCCTTCCCCCTTAAATGCTGCTTCCTTTTCCCAAACTCATAACCCTTGGCCTCCATCATCTTCACTTATGATAAAAAAAAAAATTATTTTCTGTCGACGAAAAAAAAATATTAGTAAGTGACAAATAAGTTAGATTTCTACAAGTATTTCATGTATTAGTAATAAATTATTTAAGTTTTTATAAAGGATATTTTACTTTATGTAGAATTTTTCTTCCTAGCTATTTAACCTATTTAAAGAGTCGGTAGAAAAACTTCAAAATAATTAACCTCTAGGTAAGCTAACATACTAGGACAAGCATTAATCTCGAAAAGTTAAGGACAAACTTAAATAAATACCACAATAGAGATTAAATTTATTTTAAATTTAATTATAACGATGATAAAGAGTTTCGATATTAAATAATTTGACTTTAATTATGTAACTGATGTGAAAAGTTAGAAACTCTTTACATGTAAAAAGTTTGAAAAGAGGACATATTAACTCACTTGATTATTTACAATTGACGTAAAAAAATACACATTATATTGACTTTAGCAGTATAAAATGTATTGTTTTTCTTAAAAAAAAAAAAAACTGGTTGTTTCTACCGTATATAATTATAGTAAAATTTCATTACAAGATAATGTAACTAAATTCCATATTTAACAGACTTCTAAACTATGACGAAAAATATATTAAAAAATATACTAAAATCAAATTACAATTTCTGACTCTGTCTGTTAGTGTTCCAGCGGAATATGAAAAGGAGGAGATAGACATTAATGTGGAGTTCTTTTAGTTGGAAATTTATAAACATGGACAAATTTTTAAAAAGATTAAAGAAATAGACAAATCATATTTGGAATAAAAACGATTTATTTTAATCTATTTTAAGGTGGAAATGTACGATGCACAATAAATGATTGTCCTTCAGCATTTGGTTCTTCTAGAGAATGGCTCAGTCACTTATGGGGAAAATGCACATAAATTTTGAAACTCGCCATTAGTAATAGAATAATGCTAAGGGAAGTCACTCTTATATTTATTTCATATATAACATAAGAATAAAATGTTCGTAAAAAAAATGAATTTTTATATTTTTTATAAATAAAAAAAAGAAAAAATAAAAAAATATTATCAATGTAAAAATTGATGTGAATTAAAGTTTTATTTTTTTAACAATATTAACTTAATGAATTAATATATTTCTGGTGACTTGACCAAACAACTTCAACAATAGCTAGCTACTCGACATTAAAAGATCATACAGGTATCTTCAAGATAAGGATGAAGCTTTCATAAATATGGAAAAATTTCATATATGAATTCAGAAGTCGAGCACGACATCATTTGCATGGAAATAAGTAATTCATCACAGTGTTCTGAATCTCAGTGACTTTGATAGTTAAAACACATGTAACTATAGTAATAGGATTTTGCCAAAGCTTTTCCCTAACAACACAAGACAACATGGACTCTCATAATCCTTACATAAAGACGGCTTTCTTAAGGAATATCCAAATACTGTTATGCATGCATGCTTAAACCCTAATGTTTACCCCCACCTCCTCCTCCTCCCACACCAGAACCACTGCCGGAACCATGCCCACCTCCTACCCCAACTCCAATGCCAATTCCGATGCCAAACCCTCCACCGCCTCCATGACCGCCGCCGCCGCCTCCACCTATACCTCCACCCCCGCCATGACCTATACCACCACCTGCACCAAAGCCTCCGCCGTGACCAGAACCTCCTCCAATTCCTCCACCGCCACCTCCTCCAGCACCACCACCACCACCAATTCCTCCTCCTACACCACCTCCTGCACCAAAGCCCCCACCATGACCTGAACCTCCGCCTATTCCACCCCCTGCTCCACCACCACCTCCTCCTCCACCACCACCTCCTCCTCCCGCTCCACCACCAACACCACCTCCTATACCAC